TATAAGATGGGACCTGATTATACAAGACTTTGTATGTGAGGAGAAGAATTTAAAATTTGATTCTGGATAAACAGGAAGCCAATATGGGATAAATATGGCACCTGATTCTCTTTCACCTGTAATTCAAAACAACCACACCCCTAACAACAAGCCTTAGTAGTTCCCAAATGAAAGAGTTATATTTAAAAAACAAACAAACAATCAAGTTGGAACATTTTAACATGAATGTACATCTGCACTGACTTACTTTTGAAACCAGTCTTACGTGGCCATTAGAGGAACTGCAATAGTAGTAACCAACATGCCTTAAAAAACAAACAAGCAAACAAACAAAACAAAAAAAAAACCCCAACCCAAAACACAAAAGGTCATACACCAGGAGGAGATGGCTGACTACATTAGATAAGCTACTTTTTGCATGCTTGAAGTGCAGTTTGTTTGTTAACAGGCAGCACCGTGTCCTGTGCCAGATATCCACATATGCACATATCAGTGGCATTTGTTCATCACACTTCAGTCAAGCATTATTATTACTTTCTTTATTAGGCACAACATTGAAATACCATCAATACCAAAATATTTTAGCCCTTATACACTTTGCTGATGCTTTTTACATTCTGATAATGACATTTACTCATTTGATATCTCAGTCATAACCACCACCTGCACCAATCTGGTTACCCAAACATCTTGATGCCCCCAAAAAACAAAACTAAACTAAATACAAAAGTGGAATAAATAAAGTTAAAGATTATTTTCTCTTTCTATAGAAGACATGACATCAGCGCCATGATAACTATGCAGTCTGATATTGTGACAGCCTCAACCCAAAATCTGTGGCATTGAAATCTCCTGTTTTTTGTGAATAGTAGAAGCTAACTAAGTGCATTTAAGCTATGTACACATATACACACATACATATATTTATAGATGACTTGGCAAATAATTTCAGTCATTGTGTCATTCTAACAATTAGCACGAACACTTGTGTTTTTCCTGTGTTCAGCTCTGAAGTCAGTCAGTGAATGACCAACTCTCTGGTCTTCACAGGGGGCAGATCTTGATGCTCTCAGAACTTGAACTGAAGTCTAGCCCAACCCCGATTCCGCTCCCCACCCAGAAGGTGGCATAAAGCGGCTGGGTAAAGTTGGCTCGGAAGGTGTGGAGGTGGGTCATGCTCTCTGCGACGCTGTAGAACGACAGCGTTCCCGCGGACAGGTCCAGGTAAATGCCCACACGGGGGCAGTACACGACCGGAATGTCCTTTTTCTGATTGTCATGCATGGCTGTGCAGCAGGTGTCCGACAGCTCCAGGGTCCAGGACTGGGCATTGTATCCGAGGCCTGACCTGGCGTCCGAGCCCTTCCTGGCCATCGCCCCGTAAGCTATGCCGGTTGAGGAGCCCCGGCCTCTCCACTCCACCTCCCAGTAGCAGCGTTGGGCATACAGCGGGCTGTCACACATCACCTGGGTCCAGCCATCAAAACGCCGGGGGCTGTCGGGGTAAAGCTGGGCTGTCCCCTGCAGGGCGGCTTTAGTGTTGTTCTCAGAGAGCGTCAGCTGCCTGTGGGCCGTGTTGGAGTCGAGGGTCAAGCTCACTGAGTCTAGGAAAGACATTTCAAGGACAAAATATTTTGACAACTTATCATGACATCATGGCCAATTCTGTACGCCAACATCTATGTTCTGATACACAACAGTGGAACAAGATGCCCTCCGAGAGCGCAAACCTCCCCCAAGCTGGCTCACTCTCTGGGCAGTGTTAATTTTAAGGTAGCATGACAGATGTTTGATAGAATAGTGGTAATGGATACTAAATAACTATACACGAATACCTTGAGTTTATTATATAATATGATACTACAGTATATTTCTCACTAACAGCACCCTAAGCAGCTCAGTGTCTTTAAAAATGCTTCAATCTTGTGACTGATCACAAATTAACCTGGTAACATGCTCATTATATTAAAGGAAAAATATCACAGTCATTAGGAGTTCTTCATGCATGTGACTACAGTTCACTTATATACAAAACAAAAGATTTTTATATGAGAACAAAAATGTGTAACTGAGTTTTGGCCTTCAATGAATGCTCGAGAAATATGTTTTTGAAGGTTTCATGTAAGAATATTGTTTATCTGCTTGTTGTTGTCATTACTTTTTTTTCCTTCTTCTTGGAACATATGGTACTTTTAATGATATGAACCCAGGCCAGACCTATATATGAGCATCTGATCCTATATTATTTGTATGGTCTGTGTAGTATGTGGTGACTGAATGAATAAACTGACTGAATGGTTAAAAAGTGACAGTTTGTGCTTAGATCTGTCATTTTGTACAGACTTACACTGCAGGAACTCCTCTCTAGTCCTCGGCTCCGGGGCCTGAATACTGTCAAGGCTGATTTCTCTCACTGTAAAAAAAACAACAACAAAAAAATTAAATGCATCTTCATTTATTTTCACTGTACATCATAATAGTTTGATTTCCATTTATGTTTCTTCTCTCAATACGAAAATGACTAAAGCTTGAATGACTCACAGGCGGGGAAAGCCGGAGCGTGATTCATGGAGTCCGGAGTGGGCGTATCCAAAAAGAGACCGGGGTTAACTGACCAATGAGAAAACAGCATTGGTGACGTCACTGAAACGCCTATTGCTTAACTTATTCAACCGGTTGAACTGTTGATGGGACAATACATTCATGTTATATATAGAAGGGCAATCTTCTTACTTTCTGTGGGAGTTTCAGACAGCTCAGCCATGCCCCCTGTTGAATGCAGACACAGAGTGATTGCTTCTGTTAATGTCACTAATCGCTCGAGTGCTTCAGTCAGTAAACACTTCAACTAGAAGTCAAAGCTGTCTATTTAAATGTAAAACATCTAGTAACTTATAAATATTTAGCACTTAGCCAACTTCGCATTCATCATCATCATCATCATCATCATCTTGTTTCCCACAAAAGCAAAGGCAGAAAAATAACCATAAAACAGCAAGATTCTCTCCCCCCCCCCTTATTACTGGTACTGAGTTTCGGATCTTTCAACATCAGATGTTTCAACTGCTTTCATCTCTCAATGACAATAAAAAAATGCTTTCACTGCTTACATGATAAACAATATTCATGCCATCATTCCAACTCCTCACACCTCGACTTCAAAACATTTCAGGCTCCCTCCTTTGAACAACACTTGCTCCAACTTTCAGTTTTTACACATCAGCTGACACTTCCACTCACTGTCCTGTAAAGTACACAGCGATCTGTAACTCCCTTTCTTCCTCTCATCCAGCTGGCTTTATTCTCTACACTTCTTCCTTCATTTTCATGATCAACACCAAAACCTATCAAAGCCTAAACTGAAACGAAGCGTCATTTAAACTGACACTTGAACTACTTTTACTTTAATTTGAACCTCTTTTATAAAAAGTGAACTTTTTAATGTAACCATGTTAACCACTTTTTCATCTTTTCTTCAGAAACACCCCAGTCACTTAATGGTTTGGTTACTGAGATTGCAAAGAGAGTATGAGTGTTGTTGGTCCTACATGGATTTCCTCCTGCGGCCGGTGTGTTGCTGGCCTGTGCGGCTGGAGTAGCCTGGCTGGTGCCACGGCGATTGGAGCGGAAGATGCTGCTGATCGACGCCATTCGACTAAAATCTGAGAATACCATGAATCTGATGTCAAATCCATGTCATAGTGTTTGTCAAAGCTGTATTAATATTATTATTAATTTTTAAAAACTTATTTTTGAAAGCAGGTGACAGAAAATGGAAACAATCCAAACATACGTCCAGTAGATGCCCGTGCTGGAGCAGGAGCAGGCGTAGGAGCAGGAGTCAGGCTGGCTGGGACTGGAGTAGGAGTTGTGGCCTGGCTCTGGCTAGACCTACTCCAGAGTGACTGAGATTCTCTGCGGCTGGGGGTGGGGCTAGCTCTGGGGCTCAGTCTGTGGCTGATGCTGGACCCGATGCTGATGTTGGATCTGGTGCTGGCTCTGGGGTTAGGCTCCCTCACTTTTTGGAAGACACATGGAATAAAATTGAGTTTAATTTATTGAAGCCATACGAAAATTAAGTGTTTACATAAACTTTAAATCAAAATTCAAAGTGTCTATGGCAAATATAAGTGATTGGTGACAACATCAGTATGGTATCAGAAAGTCATCTGCTTTTATCGGTTATCTATGGTACTTCATGCACAACCGATTTAGCGTCACTGCAAATATGTTCACAGTGGTCACAGAGTCCAGAGTTTACACTGAGATTTAATATTAGCCACTAGTGCTTCTTTGTTATAAAAAACGTCTCATCTTAGAATGTCACTTAAAAGTGACCATTATACCTTTCCCTGTTTTCTGTTTGTTATGATGGGGTATAGTCATATTAAACATGGACAAGGTTTCAAAGTTTTGTATGAGCAAAAAGACTATGAGAGCTGATATCGCTAACATGGCCATTTAAGGCCCCCAATTTAAAAAAGTGGATAGGAATGAAAGCTAAAATAGTGTCATTAGGCAGTGGATACAATGAATGTCAACACAAAGGACAAAAAAAAGACTTTTAGGAATCTAAAAATCATGCAAATGATTACAGTTCAAGAATAAAAACTGACATTGAAAATGAAAAAAAGAAAAGACTGAAGTAAAGGTACGTAGTGAGGCCTGAGTAATCAGACATCCTTAAATATAACTACTGTTATATATATTTCTTAAATGCAATTGAATACAAACTGTTTAAGTTCTGTTTGAGTTTCAACAATATTTTTGTGTCTTTCAACAGCAGAAGGCCCTCCTCACAATCACTAACACGTTCATGGTGCAACATGAAATAGATTTACATGTGCTACAATGAGAATATCAACGCACTGATGTTTATCCGATGTACTCTGTTCACCAGATTTACTGTATTAGCGTATGAATGTCTTCCTGTTAGCAACAAAGGCAGCTACAAAGTCATACCTGACATCCAAGTCACTGTGGATGAGACTTAATGGAAATGGACTGGCATTTAGTATAATGCTTTTCCAGTCTAATAGGAAAGTGCTCCCTGTGTAATAAGTATGTATAATTGAGTGTCATCTGC